GAGACCACAGATTTCAGCCATCCTCCTAGACCTTTCTCTTATTTAGGTGAGGGTTGCTGACTCTTCCAGAAAGAGTCTGGATTCCTCAGCAATCCTGTGGCAGTGTGACATAGAGGCTTTGAATAGGGGGGGGATGTTACTCAGCATGTACCGCCCATCTACAGCTCTTAATGCAAAACATATGCTGCCATACTGACCTACTATTCAGCATCTGGCAAAGAAAAAAAGAGGAAAAGAGGATAGTGCAGAGAAGGAAAAAAGAAAGTGAACAATGCTACCACCCTACCAGATACAGCTTAACCTGTAAAACAGCTTCTGAAATATGGAGACCAATCACAATGGACCCAGATACACCAGAGGAAACAAGAATGATATTTACTCAATAGCTTTCTTTAATGTTTATACATAATTTTGGAGAAGAGTAATCTTGCGTTTGTGGCCTGCTTTAAAACAAAGTGTTCAGTGTATTGAGCCCGAAGATATCAAGGGCATTATGGACTAAAATGTCCTCATACTACATACACAAAGCTTTATGATATAGTTTCTAAATACAGTAGTTCAGTCAACTGAGTGATGTATTACATAATCAACCTAAATTGCTCTTGCACAGCTGGTATACATAAAATTGGGCACCGTTGTGTAACAGACATTACCGCTAGTTCATATTTCAGAAATCATTCCATTTCCTTTGAGCCATCATGAGCAAAATGAGTAGACTCATCAAGGATACTCTGACGCAAAACTGCAGTCAAAACAAATACAGCTACAAACTCCACCTATTAATTCCACAGATATAGTTATATAGAATACATACTTGCAGGTCACACTGAGCTTGGTTGTGCTACACCAAATATGTGACAGTCTATCATTAGAAATGAATGGGGACTTTACAGGCAATGGTAACATTAAAGAATACTGCTTGTACACTCTTCTAGAGTCAGTTTTAGTCTAATTTACAGAAGCAATAAGCACAACTTAATTGATCACTAATGATTTCTGTGATATTGTGACCACATGAGCACAGCTAACCACAAGTCGGCTTATTCTGTGCAGAAAAAATGCTTTACTAAGACCGACTGATAATATTGCAATACATACTAAATACCACAGACAGCATTGAGCATCTACAAAAAAGGTTTGTCCCATATACATAAAGCCTAAGGTAAACTAGTTCCACCGGCTGCATGGCTTGCAGAGAATGTTTCTGCGTGCATTGAAGAGACAGCTGAACTGGATTTACTTGTTTTTCACCTGATCTGTACCTGTTCTTCACCAGCTGACAGGCTGAAAAAGACACTGAATTTGAGACAAGCAGGGTCTGTGAAAGCATCCTACCATGGAATCCAGGGATCACACAAAACCGAAACGTTTCAAGCGTAACAGAAGCCTAATATTGCTTGAGGAGCTATGAAAAAAATGGTGTCGCTTTCAACCATAACAAGAGGAAACTGTCTCATTGTGCACACACGCATAAGCACATGCTTATTCAAAGCAGAACCCAGCCCATCCTTATAGGAACATGTACGGAAGTGAGTTTCACATGCGACTACACCTACCTGCATCTCTCTGTGTCCTGTAACCATGGACACTAATGTGTGTAACTTACAGTTTTCCACTATTACATAAGACTAAGCCAGGTTGGCATGACAGAATATGTTAATAATGAGTTAAAAACAGTAACTGCAATGTGTCTAACAGGAACACTGATCTGGGAAAGTGGAAACACAATGGTTTCTATCTGTCACAAGCCTGGACAAACACATAGTGCCAAAAATAGCAAGAAACTGGGTTGTAACCAGGACCATATAAGTACAACCTGTTCAAGGAGGGCTGAGAAAGGAGAGGCTGTTTCCATCTAAGTGAACAAGAGATGGAGGGCAAACAATAGCTGAATATGACACCCAGCTGAGGCTGTTTATCTAGCAGACCAGCCACTACATTCATAAGATGTTAATAATAACTAAAAACGTACATAGGGTTCATATACATACACAAATCTCCAGTAAATTTAAATGTATGTAATTAATATAGAATGAATACAAAATGTTTAGTATTACCGGTAGTTTGTACTTGTTTTGACCACACTGAGCATTTATGATGCCAATATCCTATAGGATTCGGTGAATGGTCACATCCATAGGGTTGTGTAATCTAGTAGCTGTTAAAATTCGTTTACTTGATGTAAATGACCACAGAAAGAAGTTAAAAACAATAACACCGAGCAGCTGCTGTAAGCTACTGCATGTCGATAAGGATGCTGGAAAACGGTTTCCAAAACAGGAGCAGTGTCCCTTGCGTTTATCTCTGTACGTGACTGTGATAAGTATATTTTCACTCACCATTTTCATTCGTTTATCACACCGCAGCCGACCTTCTTTTATCCGTTTTGTAATTGTTTATTAAAACATAATAAGCCTATTAAAAGTCTCTGGGTGATGTCACGGTCACGGTCTCGTTTTGGCCTCTGGTGCTGTTAAATGTCTCCTCAGGACCAGTGTCGCCGCTCCATAATAGTGAAGACCGCGCCGGTAAACCGCTCGAGCGCACTGACTGTGCTGCAGCGTGCGTCTGCTCTACAAAGTTAAACTTTGTGTCTGCTGGTTGACGGAATCAAAGAGGCAAACAACCATAAATGGAGAGTTTCGTGCGTCGCCTTTGGCCAATAGGAGCGCCGCTCGGAGCGTCATTCCGAAGGGAATCCCACCAGATGATTTTGGGTGTATTAAAGCGCGTCCTATCTGCGCAGCTAGGCTGCATAAACTAAATTACTAAATCAACTGAACAGTAAGGTAAAATAGAATATAGCAATATTATTGAAGCAATTGATCTAAAGATGAAGTATAGGTTATTGTTATCTCTATTTAGTTATTTACAGGTCTTAACCTTTTATTTTATTATTTATTTATTATTTTGATTGTGAAGTGTCTACATGTTACATTCTTTTATGAAAAAAAACCTTACAACAATATGTTCCCCCCCCCCATGAAATCCAGGGTTTTCATGTACATTTTTTAAAATATATTTTTATAGTCTATTTTTTATTTTTTTTATATTATTATAAATAGTATATGTTTGTTATTATTATTATTATTATTATTATTACTGTTATTATATTGCTTGTCAATGATCATAACATGTTTTAAATGTTCATCTTACTTCACAAAGATCTTTGCAGGCCTGTAAGCCAATATTCACCTTTTAGCAGCTCATATTTCAAGAGGAACCTTTTAGTTCACAATTTTTTGAGGAACCTTTGACAACTTTTTGAGAGAAACCTTGTGATAGAACATATTCATAAACATATTCATATATTCATACAGTCAAACCTAAGCTAATAAAAAAACTAGGACTGACAAAATGATTCACTCCACTCAGCCATCTATTTACAGCTGTGAAGCTAGACATCTGGACTAGGTTTTGTGTAATAGCCGCAAACTGCTTTTATAGGTATAAATTAAAGAGTACACTCCTGTCCAGAAGTCTGGGCTTAATTTTTTTTTATTTTTTTAGAAATAATTACTTTCATACAGCATGGGCACATTTAACTGATCAAAAGTGACAGTAAAGATTTTCATGATGTTACAAAAGATTTATAGACATCTAAAAAACAAATCATGATTTCCAAAAAAAAAAATAAATAAATAAAAAAAAGCGAATACATTAATAATCACACTGATAATAATAAGATATTTTTTTTTAGCATCAAATCAGCAAATTAAAATGATTTCTGAAGGTTCGTGCGACACTGTAACTGGCTGGAGTAATGAAATAAATGACATTTGAAAATATATTAAAATAGAAAAAAAGTTTCAAATATTTCATATTGTAGATATATTTACTGTTTTTACTGTATTTTGATCATGTAAATGAATCATGAGGGACCTTTTTCTAAAACATTAAAAATGACCTCAGACATTTAAATGGTAGTGATTGCGTTATATTTTATTATATTTTCAACCTGTCCATCATTACAAGCATATATGGCTTTCAGGTAGGCATTACAATTTAAATGGAAATACATAGTTGTATTTGAGAAAGGGTTTTCTAAGTAAAGAAGAATTAGTATGGAGTCACTGATCTATAATAGATCAGTGTATGGAGTATTTTCATCGTGTGACTACAGGGGACAGTCTTGACCTTATTGAAACTATGCATGCAGGATTACAATTATTCCAGCAGGTGGCGCCATGAGTCCATTAATAGGCTTCAACTAAAATATGCATGATATGAAAACAATCTATTTATATGCATATGTGCTTTTTTCGACATTGCAACGCAATTAAAATAGAAAAAAAGTTTCAAATATTTCATATTGTAGATATATTTACTGTTTTTACTGTATTTTGATCATGTAAATGAATCATGAGGGACCTTTTTCTAAAACATTAAAAATGACCTCAGACATTTAAATGGTAGTGATTGCGTTATATTTTATTATATTTTCAACCTGTCCATCATTACAAGCATATATGGCTTTCAGGTAGGCATTACAATTTAAATGGAAATACATAGTTGTATTTGAGAAAGGGTTTTCTAAGTAAAGAAGAATTAGTATGGAGTCACTGATCTATAATAGATCAGTGTATGGAGTATTTTCATCGTGTGACTACAGGGGACAGTCTTGACCTTATTGAAACTATGCATGCAGGATTACAATTATTCCCGCAGGTGGCGCCATGAGTCCATTAATAGGCTTCAACTAAAATATGCACGATATGAAAATATTTATATGCATATGTGCTTTTTTCGACATTGCAACGCAATTCAGATCATTTAAATATTGGGCATATAAAGATTATTCTCTGCGAATATTTCAAATTTTAGAATGACAAATTCTAGCTCAAAGTTCACATTGTGAATTAAATATATGTGTTAAAGCACTTAATATATTTTTTAATATCATAAACAATATGAATATTCGCATTTCAAAACAAAACGCTCCAGTGGTCCACGGGGCTCGCCACAGCTCACTCCTCCTCCTGTTTTTTGGTGGTCCAGAGCTCAAGCACGCAGCACGCTGCACCTCCCCATTCCCCCCTCTTATAAACATGGCTGAAATGAACACGGACGGTGAATTATAGGACTGAAGCCGTCTGCTGCAGCACCACCACAGGACTCACACACACTCACACACACACTGTTGATTCAGACAAGAAGACTGAACATGACGTAAATGTTTACAGCAGGAAACTAAAGCAGCAAAACTTTGAGTTTGACAGCCGCTAACGAAGAGACTTCAGCGGGACAGACCACATCCAGCTGAGACACTACTGCAAGCGAAGCACAGACTTAATACTGCTTTTGCATTTATGGAAACGATGTTTTTAAACACATCGTCTACTGAAGAAACCCTGGATGTAATGCTTTGATGTAGCCCGAAACAGTTTTAAGAGTTTTAGGCTGCTCTTATATGGATTTACAGTTCGCATTTTTGTCATATCGTCCCGTTTAAATTATGTTCTCCGGTAAACAAACGAAGCCGACTTTTAAGTCTTATCTTCCTCCACTTCAGGTAAGTGAGACACTAGCATGCTAACGACTAGCAGCTAAAGAAAAAGTCATCATAATCGTTTACTATTCTGCACTTGTAACGTAACGTTATATGTATGTTAAGAAAACTGTCATCTGGACGACAGGTAACCTCATAGTTAAGACTTCACTTGGTTTGACAGAGGTATCCTCAACTCAGGTGTGAGCTGTTCACAGTGGTTACTTTGTTCATGACGTTTCGTCAAAAATGACCACCACAGCAGTAGTACCATAGGGTAAGATGGAGCTAGATGCCCTCCTTTAAGAACAGTGTGCATGTACTTTCAACTTGTAGCGTATTTAGATACAAATTTTACATGTGCAGGATGTTGATGCGTCAGCCAATGTGTTACTAATGGAAATGAATGAATAACATGATGTGCGAAGTTTTGAATAATAGGAATTAGTGTGTCAAATTCCCCACTGACAAAGAGACAAAAAAACTTTTGACATTCAACACAATGCAGCGTCACAGATCACCAATCCTCAGAGACACAAAATTTGATCATTTATTCTGGAAACCTGATTACAAATGTTGATATTCAGATCAAATGACAAATTGAAGAAGAGCATAGCCACTCGTTAAATGTGTTGAAATTAGATTTTGTGCCATATGGTCAAGAGAAAAATGTAAGTGTAAAGATCTACTTTGTCTTGCGTACTTGAAAGTGGTTAGGTGATATTAAGTGTTCTTAATCTTTTACACAGACTGATTTGAAGAAAAGTCCTCAACTGCCCATCAAGAAACTAGAAGCGAAACTTCTACCAGGTAAGCAAGAAAAAAGGTGCATCAGTTCTTTTGGCAAACAACTCATAACCGTCACAGGGTTGGGGTGGTGTTGCTTAGTAGTTGAAGATATGGTCTTGCAACTGAATGTTTGTTTTGAACCCCGTTGGCCTGTTTCATAAAGCCAGTTTCAGTGGCTATCCATTTAAGTTTGAGCAAACTCTGTTTTTTTCAGGTTCAAGAAGATGGATTGTTTTTACTTGTGTTCGTCACCATTATAAGATCAGCTGTGAGCAAAGTGACATATCTAACGCATTAAAGTCACTCACTGCATTTCTTCTCCAAATTAAAGTAGTTCACAGCTAAAGCAATTAAGAAGAGCACAGACACTCATTAAATGTGTTGAAATGAGCTTTTGGGCCATCTATGTTCAAGAGAAAAATGTAAGTGTAAAGATGGATTGGTGAATTGAAGTGTTTATTGTTATTCTATCCTTAAAGGAACACTCCACTATTTTTGAAAATAGGTGAATCTGATTAGACCGTTAGCATCTCGCTCAAAATGACCAAAGAGTTTCTATATTTTTCCTATTTAAAACTTGACTCTTCTTCTAGACAGCATTTTAATGCCACACTTCATTATTTGTGAATTGTAAATAAAGCAGGTGTAAGGCTAAGAGGATATTATTTTTTAATTATTGACTTTCTCTCTCATGTTGTACCAAACATGTATGTCTTTCATTCATCTGTGGAATGAGAAAGGTTAAAGTTCCACTTTTATGATACATTTATGGTGATTTTGCATCATTTTTGAAGTGGCTCCAGAAGAGCAACTAGTACATTTCTAACAAAAGTCTTTTGTTCTTCTGGAGCTACTTCAAAAATGATGCAAAATCACCATAAATGTATCATAAAAGTGGACATTATGTCTTATTCTCTATATTCCATGTGTTCTAAATCCATGTGATAGATTTGAGTGAGAAACAGACCAAAATGTAAATTATTAGGCTTGTTTGAGATGCGCCTCGCCTGAAATGAAGGCGAGAGTAGGCGGCTGCAGTGAGGGGAGGAGTGAAATAAGCGCAGTCAAGACGGACAGTTCTGCCCTCTCGAAGTGGAGCAGATACCTACGAGATCAAAGATAGATATCGCGTTATTCTCACTCATGTGCTGTGCTGCTGATAAACATGATATAATTTCAGTTCTGTTGCTTTTATATGAAAATAAATATGATGAACAAGACACTCAAAGTGCTTGCTATTTCATTACATACGAAAGGTGTATTTATCATCCATTTTTACTTTAATACAAACATGTATTTGAGATATTTATAGAAATATGACAACAATCACATATCTCACACAGAGATCGCACTGTCATAGTGTTTGGGAACATTCATGCATAATTTAAATACATAATCACATGAAATCAGATAAAAAATAAAACATTTTAGAACGCAGCATCACAGTTGTCTGAACCAATGAGCATTAAGCTGTGTCGTTTCCCATCATGCTTTTGATCAGCGCAGTCAGTGGAGAGCAACTGCGCTCGACTGCACAATCCGACACAGCCGCCTCGCCATCACGAGAGTTTTTTGGCACACGTCAGCATGACATCAGAGCAAGTCGGAGGTAAGTCGGACACTTTTCTAACCGGCATGCATCTCGTGGTGATCACCGGTGATCGGTTCTGCGCAGATTTTGCTCATCTCAAACAAGCCTATTATCACTGATAATCTTGTTCACTTGAGAATTGCTGTAACCAGCATTGTGAACTGTATCTCTCCAATCATAACCGAAATATAGCCGCTGCGACTACATTAATCCAGATAGGCTATATTTGAAAACAGCGCTTTCATTTCGAAATGCTCTCTGTCCACACTTGCGTTTCCAAAATGTACTCATCTAATACCTCAGTTTTCACAGTCCGCACTACAATGCGAAGACCGCATTTGCAACTTTATGCACTTAGGAGAGCATCTTCAAAAAGCCACCTTAGTGTGGACTGAAGGCCAAAACTCAGAGAAAAAGATGTTTTCAAATGCTTCCGGATTACTGTAGATTTAGCTTCAGACCAGTTTTGTGAATTGGATTAACTGGTTCATTAAAAGATCTAACTCAAAAGAATGATTTAATTACGAAAAAATCCAAAGCTATAATTTGATTCAGAAGACTATAACAAAACATATAAAGCATATAGACTTCTCTTATCTTTTCTTTTGTTTTTGACTTTTTGAAGCTTTGAAATTTCTTTATTTTTTGTAATTGCATGGAAAAGAGTGACCAGTGCATGGTGCCTTCCATGAAAGAAAGTCATATTGGTTTTGAACAACATGAGAGTGAGTAAATGATGAGAGAATTTCATAATTTTGGGGAACCTATTCCTTTAAATCAGCTCTCATGCAGAATGTAAAAATGTGTTGCTTCTATGGCAGCATTGAGAACATTTACCTTTTCATTTACATTTAAATTCGTTTAGCAGATTTACAAATGAGGACAATTAAACCAACAAAAGGCCAACAATATGTAAGTGCTTTGGCAAGTCACAGTTTGTCTAACACATTACATGTAGCAAAGTTAAAGAATAGATAATAGAAAAAAATAGATAGAATAGAAAGTGTTAGTGTTAATTTCCATTTCTTGAAAATGGCTAAAGACTGCTCGGGTTGAGTTCAGCGGGTCATTCCACCAGCAGGGAACAGTGAAGGTAAAGGTCAGTGAAAGTGATTTTGTGCCTCTTTGGGATGGCACCACAATGCGCTGTTCACTTCTGGAGCGCACAGAAGCCTGAATTAGTTTAGGCATATGGCTGCAGAGCTAGTGGTTGATCTGTAGGCAAGCATCAGACTGATAAATTGATAAAGCAGCTTGTTTGGCTCTTGTTTGCTCAGCTTTAACACATTCAAAACTCGTTCGATGTCTGCTAAATCAAGAGGTCAATATCATGGTGACGTGTCTGTAGGACATGGATTCTGTTCCATCATGGTTTTAAAAATGTGATCTACCTGTTCCTGTATGTCTTATAATTGCCATTGCCAAGCACACTTGAATTGGGTGTGTACCCATCTACCTTTAATCCTAATGTCCTGGTTCTTCTGAATAAAGGCTTCATGTTCTGACAGGTAGTTTCAACCTCACAGTCTTATTATACCTGTGAGGCTTTGCCTTTTGTTCTGTCCTAACCTTTCTAACCCATGCAATGGCAGATCAGCTATTTCCAAGCCATTAACAACACTTATCAGCTCCGCCTCTGCGATGGCAGAGGTTTTAATGCATCCGGACAGTTTCTCTGTTCCTAGAAGTGTTGGGAAACACACAGAAAGGCGACTATAGTGCCGTGGTGTCTGGGGAAGGACTCTGCGTTTAGGCGTTCACTCCTTATAATTAAGCCGCATAACATGGACCTTCCCTGTTTCCAAAATAGATGTGCTGTGCATTTTTTAGTTCTTCATCTGAAAGTAAAACAAAACCTCCCTTGTCACTGTGTTTTGTGGACTGTGGTGATAGTAGGGTGGCACACGGTGTGGTGAAGTTACTGCATTTACAACAGTACTACATTTACTGCAGTTAGGCCTACCTCTTTTTTTTAAAGAAAGTATTTACTTTTATTTAGCAAGTACATGTGAAATTGAGCAAAAGTGACCGTAAAGACATTTATAATGTTACAAAAGATTTTTCAAATAAAATGCTGTAAAATACATATTTCAATAAATAAAAAAACACATATTTTGAATTTTCAAAACAATTCACAATTTTACTGTTTAAACTGTATTTTTGATCAAATAAATGCAGCCTTGGTGAGACTTCTTTCAGAAACATAAAAAAAGGTCTTACCTACCCCAAACTTTTGAATAGTAGTGTATCTTGTAGGTCTATTTACGATGTCAACATGTATATAATACTTGCAGTGCACATACAATATAATAATTAATTAATAAAAGTTTGCATTTATTTATGTTTCACTCAATCTAACTTGTGTTCCTGTTCCTGAATTCTTGCAGGAATTAAAATTCTGTTCTATTTCGAAATAAAATTGAAAAAAAAAAACCCCAGTCCAAATCTGTAATTTTAAAGGCACGTTTCACAGCAATTTCAGCATCACGTTGTAATTTACAGTATGAAAAATAGACGCTTTCTGTGTCTGTGTTTGCCGACATGTAAAGAAAATAGACTTATAGTCTGTTTTAGTCATTCTCTAAGGATTGTTTTAGTCCTGCATGTGGTGACATTTTAGTAGAATGTATCTATTCAGATTGACCTCCTACATGACTGCTCCATTTAAATCTCTCCACCGCTCTACACACACATGGAGGCCCAATGGTGCCTAGTCATCTCAACAAAACAAGCCCGTTGTCTCATGAACAGTGTTCTTTTACAAACCCACGCACACATTCTCTCTCTCTCTCTCTCTCTCTCTCCTCACTCACTCACTCTCTCTCTGTCAGTCTCTCTGTTTGGCATCTTGTTATCATGTTGCTCTGATCCATTTACGTGTAACTTTTGCAGCACAATGCAACAAGAGAGAATTCCTGTTCTGAACTCGATCCGATCTTAAGAACAGCCTGTGCTACATTTGCAGTATTCAGCATCTTCTCTCCGTGCTTTAGCCATCAACACCATTTTAACTTTTAACTCTGCTATAATTGCTGTCCACATTCAAAGCTAAAAAAAATGCAACCAAAAGTGTACTGATAAAACATGCCAGCCACCTAAACACCCCTTTTCTAACAGGATGTAAACACAGGAAGCCTGATCACATGATCATATCTAAATATTTGATGCTGTGATTTTTAGGTGCAGACTATCTTTAACTTGTCATGGGTCGTTTAATCAAGTAGTTTTAAAGGGGTCATATGACGTTGCTAAAAAGAACATTATGTTGTGTATTTGGTTTAATGCAATGTGTTTATGCGGTTTAAGGTTCAAAAAACACATTATTTTCCACATAATGTACATTATTGTTTCCCCGCCTTTCTGAAACGTGTCGATTTTTACAAAGCTCATCGGTCTGAAAAGCGAGGTGTGCTCTGATTGGCCAGCGATCCAGTGCATTGTGATTGGCTGAATACCTCAAGCGTGTGACGGGAATCTTATGTCCCTACCATACTGTGATGCCCTGTCCCGGCGCGATGAGACAACACCAATAAAACCCATTACAAATGAGGCATTTGTTGCATCCAGTAGGGACATAATTACTGATTATAATGACTTGTACTGTCTTTTTACGCGTTGCGTATCGCGCCGCGTAAACATAAAACCATGTCTGCATTTGTGATCGGAGAAACGACAAACAACAAGCGCTCGCTACTCTACACTGCCCAAAACTCGCGTTTGAATCGTCAGTGGCAAATTCTTTATATATAAAAAACGTACTTACAGTCTGTGAATCAGAAGCACCAGACTGTCCTTGCAAAGTTGGAACTGCCCCACTTTATAGAAACAGCCTTTGTGCACAGCATTGTAGGCTAATCTGCAGGTTCAGGAAACGGTCCTCTGTAAAATGCGTTGCACACATCTGAATATTTGGGTTAAACTGTTCTGGAACAGTGTTGTAAATACAACTTAACCACTGATTTCTAGTTGTGTCCTCTTTTGGAAGGCCAAACAAAGTAGTTTCGCTTTCACAACGAAACACACAGCGTCATACACGGTGGGCTTGAGTGAGCGGAGGCCGGCGGGCTTGAGAACGGCGCTGCCGGCGGATTCGACGAAGGAGTGGCCGGCGGGCTTGCCGCAACTACATGTGACGACCCCGGGCTGGACTCCGCTTCGTCCACAGTGAAAGCCGATCTGGCGATCCACAGCGCGAAGTTGATGTATTTCCTCAGCGACCAGCACGGATCAGCTCCAGGCATGACGAAGCGGATATCGTCCTCTTTTGGAAGACCAAACAAAGTAGTTTCACTTTCACAACGAAACACACAGCTTCTCCACGACACTGCGGCGGCGGCAGCAACAATACTACAGCGAGAATGAAAGTTATGCCGCCTTTCTTTGCGTGAACATTTGGGCGGTGTTATGCAAATCTTCCCACACAGTGACGTAGGCATGTGGGGGTGTGTTTAAACGAGGCGTTTTAGGAGGGCGTGGACAAGTCTTAACTTTTATAAAGAATATCTCTTTGGGTTTGAGACTTTAGTCTTTGCAACTTTAGGGATCTTATCTATGCACGAACAGCTTGTAACACTCCAAAGAGAAAGGAAAGTTTGAAATTGCATCCTATGACCCCTTTAATGTCAAGTGTGTATTATTAATGCCATGTCTGTGATGTATACTCTCATGTGTTGTCATGTCAAACCATTGGCATCAGGATATACTGTGTAGATTTAATGTGATCAAGTTAAGTTACACTACTGTTCAATAGTTTGTGGTCGGTAAGATTTTTTTACATTTTTTTGAAAGAGGTCTCTTATGCACAACAAGACTGCATTTATTTGATAAAAAATACAGTAAGTCAGGAAAATTGTTAAATAATATCACAATTTAAAATAGCTGTTTTCTGTTTGAATACATTTTAAAATGGAATTTATTCATGTGATAGTAAAGCTGAATCTTCAGCAGCCATTACCTCAGTCTTCAGTGTCACATGATCCTTCAGAAATGATGCCAATATGCTGATTTGATGCTCAAAAAACATTTATTATTATTATTAACATCATCAGTGTTGACAATAGTGGTGCTGATTCATATTTTTTGGAAACTGTGATACATTTTTTTTTCAGGTTTGTTTGAAAATGATAATGTTTTGCATTGCAAATGTCTTTACGGTCACTTTTGATAAATAACGAATCCTTGCTGGAAAAAAAATAGTTTCTTTCAAAAAATTAGTAGTGTGTGTGATAATGTCACAATATAAAGTACTATTTAAATTGTGCAATGAGATGTGATTTTATCAACTGATCTTCAGTAAACGAGTATTTCAGTGTGACATTGTTTGGCTGCATTCATAGTGCATCTGCCAAACTGCCATCTGCATTTCCTTCTCATCAGCAGTCTGGACTGATCTTCTGCTGTTTACTGGTAGATCAGAGAGGATGAGCTGCTGCTTAATCCCTGTAGAGCACTGATCAGACACACGTTGATATATAGTCATGGCCATTTACAGAGCGGAAGAGGAAGTTGTTTGAAATTTGCGAGTGGGTGTGTGTTGCGAAAATGTGAGAAGATGGGTAATAGAGATTGTGGGTCTTCATACTGAGGTCTTAAAATGAGCTATAAGAATATTTTTTTAATCTGCACTCACTGTAGTGATAAAATTAAGTTTAAAAAAAAGTTTTTAAATGTAAATATAGGTTCAACTGATGACACTAGTAACTTAAAGCATTATCAGATTAACCAAAATATCTAATAGATAAATAAGTAGTTGTGGATGTTTATACTGAACTTTCTCCAGAATTCTGTGGGCTCAGATTCCAGGCACATGTAGTTATAAGTTAATTGTCTGGCTGACCTACTGTTATGACGTTTATTGAAGCATTCAACAGTATTGTGCCTGAGATACATGCGCCTGAGATGCAAATAACTATATTTGCATCCACACCAACGTTCTGTCAACATGGCATGGCTTTCTGTTTATTATATAAGCCCATTCTGCAGTTTTGTCATCTGCCGCTTCAAGTGCTAAAGCTCTATGATGATGTTGGATGGATTCAGACTCAGCTGTCAATGTTTTTATTGTTCCTTTGCTGGAAAAATGTTTTTTTGAAAGGGTTTATTATAACTTTATCGTTATCGTCCTTGGCATAAATGTCTCTTTAGAATGACATTAGATCCATTCTAAATATGGTAAAGCTCAGCATAGACTCTAGATTCACTGGCACAAGTGAGTATTATTAGTACAAACAAAATGTCTCTGTGACCAACTGGTACACCTGACTTTGAACTCATGCTCTTTTCCTGTTTGTGTAAAAAAAAAGCAAACGTTCAGGACTCTCAGCATGTATGTGCACACTCTGTACATGGTAAAAGTTTATGTGTCTGTTAGTCAGCACAACAGGCCATTTCTTTTAATAGGGCATAATTTTTCTTTCAACATGAAAGGAGAGTCACAGGAGAGGGCTTTCCCTGCAAAGCTGTTAGGAAGGGGCTCAAGTTGGTGTAGCCCAAGTGGTCAGCAATCCAGAAGTTGCTACTGAACTAATAAGAAACTGCTGCTGTATTGTGGAGGAGCTATCGTGCGCAAAATATATAAAAATTATAGTTTCATTCATTTCTGTTTGGCTCTTTAAAAAGTTGGGTTGTTGTTAGCAGAGAAGTATATAGACACATACTTGGAGTGGACTATAGAATAAAACAAATCAATAATACACGTTAAACACAAGTACCAACAGTTCCTTTTAATGCATGTTAAATATTTAAGCAAAGTTAACATTTCAGCTAATCATCCATTGCTCAGCTGATTGTGTTTTTCCTTCCACTGAATTTCACTTCCTTATTCCCTCATTACAGGTGAAATAGTTGTGAACGAGGCAAACTTTGTAAGGAAGTGCATCGGAGCAGAAAGCTGTCAGGATGACCTCTGGGGGAAACTTGTGTGTACTAACTTCAAAGTTTCCTTCATTGCCCATAATTCCTTGCCACGACAGGTAAGCACAGACTTATCTGAGAGTCAGTACTTTTACTGCAACTATAAGCACTAGCAGTGATGAAATCATAGAATATTATTCAACACAAAACATGCTTTTAGTTTATAATATGACTTTTTATTATGTGGTCTCACAACTTTAAAAAAGAGAAATAAATCAAAAGCAAAATTAAAATTAAAAAAAACCGTTTTTGTTAAGTTTTTATAATTTGTCTTTTGAAGAATTGCTGACTTTAACATTTCTGGTAGCGGAAAATACATGTGTGAATTTTATTTAGCTTGCTGCGCTGTTTTCAGTGTGCAATGGAAATAATTAACCTGCTAGCCCAGAAACATCTCCAATAGTTGAAATAAAAAATAAATAAAAAAATCTCTGAATGTAGGCATAGGATTGTAATCTAGTATTTATTCACTATAATTTATTGGAGAGAATTAGAAAATTAATCTACATAGCTGAGGAAAAGAAATCAGTAGATTTGTTGACCTGTTGCACTATAATTTGAATTTACTTAATTATTTATTTATTTGTAACTGGTCATGACAATGTTTTGATAGAGCCACAGTGTTTAAACATTTTGGGGAAATAAACGACTATTGACTTCCATACACTGTAGTTGACTCATTAAACTAGAAAGGACACACTTTATCTTTAAGTATTGAGAAAAGCAGGTCTGCATTAGATATGTGAACATATAGGTGAAATAGATTTCAGTATTATAATTCATATAATATAATACAATTCCTTTTATATTGGTGTCATGAGTATTACTCCGTACTAGACTGGATAAACGGGTCATATAAGGAGGGAAATAAATTTCAGACCCTGTCTTCAAGACCTAGTCATGCAAAAGAATCCAAAGTTCTTTTCCAGAGCAGTGAAGTCTGCTACACATATTAACTTATATAGTCACTCCGTCCTGTTAAGCAGCTCTTAAGTTAAATAAGTTAAACATGTTAATAATCTCCCTCAGTCAACAGATGATCAGCTGATTTACTAAGGAAAGAAGGTAAATTATTACAGGCCTTCAAAGCTTATACGGGTCACCCATTACACTGGTTCATACACAGGCCAGCCGTAGCTCATGAGGTTCTCTTTACTGGATAACGTCAACAAAAAGATTGAAAGCAAATGAATGAAAAATGACCCTTGTCTTTTTATTGTTTACAGAGATTCCAGTGCACCCACCGCCTCTTGGGCGAGCACGATATCCCGCTGGCTTGTGTGGAGCAGGTAGTAACAGGTAATTCAACAGTACATGAACACACTCCACCATGCTTCCCAACACCTGCAGACCACCTGTTTTTTGCTGCTGTTTTCTACAATCAGTTGAATCACTATCAAAGAGCAGCTTAGCATGTAAGCTCTAGTCTGTGCACGTTATAATATGTAAATAATACAACTTGACTGTATAACCCCAAATTTAACTACATTATCAAATCAGTTTGCAATCAACTTATGCAATATGCTCTCAAAAATATTTGTGTAATTTCATACCAATAGTAAGTACTTTTATCTTTTGTTGTTCTTTCTGATTTGATGTATGCAAATAGTCATTCATTCTCCTAAAATTATGTGTAAACATTTTTTAAAGGCTTTTGTACCTTTTTTTTTTAAAACTATGATCCTCATTTTCATTCAGAAATTTGTGTGAGATGAATGCCTGGGGCTCCACAGACCCTAGTTTGAGTAACACTGCTCCATGAAACTCCAACCATGCTTTTATGCTTTTAATAGCCTAAATGAAAATGTTTTGAGGCGTCTGACTGGTCAGACCCTATGCAGCTTTATATAGAATGTCTCCTTGTGTGTTATCCCTGTCGTTCTCCTTCAGTGTTTTTACAGTCACTGGTTTCCTTCTTTTCTAACTTTGGTTGTTCTCTATCTCTTTTTTTTCTTCTGTACCTCAGTTCTCTAATCTCTCTTTCTGTGTCTGTTCCCCTTTTTCCTTTTCGTAAACTGCTACTGCATTTGTGTTAACATAACAAAAAGGATCATGTGTCCTAGATGACTGACTGTAACCCCGTGGCTTGGATTTTTCCACGAGTGATGCAGTCATTTGTGACACTGTAGCATAGCTGCAGAACCTGTTTGGGTGGCTGCTTTTAGCATAGCTGTAGATGAGCTCATCCTGCCAGACTGCAGCCTGAGTCTGGCCACGATTAATCTTGTTTGTGTTAGATCCTTGCGCTCCCCTCATTGCTGACTTAGTCCCCCAAGTGTTGAATTGCTGTGCTGAACAGATAGCGCATGAAGCCTGCTTCTTTTCCCTTTTTTTACTCCGTCTGTCCGTGTGGCTTTAACAAAAGACCTTTATAAGAGATTCAGGCTTAGAAAAAAAACACACTTTGAGGCTTCAATCTGTCAGTAAGGCACGCGGAGTGACCCCTGGAGTCTGGGATAGTGCCCTTGGAGGCTGTCTATGCTGTATTAATTACAGGACTGAAAGCTCCAACAGACCATATCTGCTCATATTTGTTTCTTTAAAAATATTTGATGTCACATGCAAGGGTAGGCTTCTCCTACAAAAATATTTACTTGCTTTTTATTTACTTAAATGAACTACATCTTAGCAACACAATTCGGTCTTCAATAGGTTCAGTAATATGTTTACATTAGTTAATATGAAATTGCAATGAAAACTACTTTTAAAGCATTTATTATTATAAATGAACAATTTCATGTTAATTTATAACAATATAACAATATCAATGTGTTTCCATAGTTTCTTTACAATACTGCGTTTTGATTAAAACACTCCTTTCATTAAACAATAGCTTACTATTTAGACAAGTAAAATACTCGTTACTCATCATTAGAATCTTTTAGCTGTGCACATAAGACACAAATCTTTGGAAAGCAAAGATTGTACTGTGAAGTGATATTTTTCCATATGTCTTCTTGAAAGTTATTCTGCACATATACTTTAAAACTTAAGGGGCACAATACGTATATTGCAGATTGATTCATTTATTGCTCATGTGTAATAATGTTGTTAATGTATTAATTTGATATGATTGTAATAATAGGGAAGGCTTTATACGGTACATGTATAAACAGCATGATATTGCTATAAGCTAGTTCTGCTAATATAAAGTTAATGTCTAGTGAGCATTTCCTCACTCAGCTCATTAGTGGATAGACTTACTTGAGTAGAGGAACTCATTCTGTGGTAAAGATAAAGGGTCATGTTCTTTAGAACTCCGAATGTTAAAAAACGGAACAAGTGGTCTTAATTAGTACTTCTGTAGGAAAAGAGAGCTTACTTATTTCAGTTTGTTATTTTAATTATTACTTTAAACATAGTCATGATTTCTTGTGCCTTCAGATTATTTGACTGAATATTATGTAATACAGATTACACATAATACAGATTATACTCCGTCGCTCACTAGCACGTGTAGAATCCAATAGTGAGATTAGTAAACCTGGTAGTAAGCACCAATGACACATAATGCTGTGGTGTTCATGCAAGTCTGCCTCTTGCCATATCACAATCCCAATTCTTCTATCATTACCTGTCCTCTATCTACTTTCATTATCAGTAATGCTTACAAAATCAAAATAAGACTTTATGTATGTTTTTTTTTTTCCTATAGTGAATGATGTTAAGGGGAAGCAGAAGATTTTAGGTTCCGATCAGAAGCTGAAATTTAACCCTACTGAGCTTATCCTCTACTGCAAAGACTTCCGCATTATCCGATTCCGCTTTGATGAAGCCGGACCCGAGAGTGCTAAAAAGGTACAAAACACACATAAAATCATTAACCTCGCAGCCCCTTGCACCCAAACACACTCCCACACATGCTCACACATCTCCACGTTCCAGGCACTTTTGGATTAGTCTGAGAGAGGATTAAGGACTAATGGGTTTGACTGCAGCCCCCTGCTGAAGTCTGGGTGATTTTTTTCCCCCTGAAGTAACATTGTAAACATGTACAAGAAATTCCTGCATATTACTGGTTCCTCTCCTGGAATGAAGTGGAATTATGAATTCTATTCATTTCAGTCTGTGTTCTGTCTTTAGGTGTATGCGGTGTTATGCAAATTGATTGCATTTTGTTTTGTCAGTGTCCTACTTAAGCTAGAATCCATTCCTAGAACTCTAGGCCTGTGGTGTTTCAGGAAGTCTCTTCTCTCGTTGTCTCCCCTTTCCTACTGAGAGGTTGTAGGATGAGGGGATTATAGTTTGTCTTTTTACATAGACAGCATTGCTTTCATCCACCTTCTCTGTCTGGTGGAAACTGATCCCACTGCAGACCTGTAATGACGAGTCACAGAGAAGCCAGATTCATCTCTTCCTGCTATACCCCCTCATACACATGAGACCCAAACCAGTGGCATGTGGTAGATTCTTACTCAAAGATCATTTAGATTCAAATGTGAAATTACTTGGTAATATTCATATGAGTTATTTACTTTGTAATTAGGCCATTTATTTTCTACATTTTTTCTATTCACCGATTTGTGGAACGGTTGCAGTAATAACAGTCTGCCATTGTTTAGTTGACAGTTTAATCAGCCATTCAAAGTGGGGGAACTGGTTCCTCTCACATGACTTCTCATGTTTGTTGCACAGTTACTCCTTCACATGCACGCCACGTTAAAGGACCTCTGTGAGACCAAAACAAGCTCAAGCGAAGCAAAATAAATTTTATTCGCTGGTGTTAAAATGAGATAAAAAAATGGGAGATTTATACATTATTTAACCTCATACACTACCATTCAATATTTTTTTTTCCCTAAAGGAATACTTTTATTCAGCAAGGACACATTAATTTGATCAAAAGTGACGGTAAAGACTTTTATAATGTTACAAAAGATTTCAGATTCAAATAAATGCTGTTCTGTTGTCTGTTCAACTTTCTTTTCATCAAAGAATCTTGAACAAATGGATCAATTGTCAATTTAAAATGTATTTAAATAGAAAACTGTTAATTGTTAAACTGTAAATTGTAATATTTCACAATATTACTGTTTTTACATCAGATGTTCTAAAAGATATTCTATGTCTTAATTTTTAAGGTTAGTTATATATTTAGTTTTTCATTTTCCCCAATGATAGATTTAAAAGGCCAAAAATGCACAGCAGTGAAGCATATTGGAGCGTTTTGAAAGTTCCCACCAAACCCATCAGAGGCTCTCTGCCTCATAAAATAAAGCATGTTCTGTTGAGGAATGTCTCTCCCTCCCGTTATACATTTTCGCCATAAAGCAGATAAAAAGAGCTCTTTAGACAAGCTGATCTGATCATACCATGAACTCCGAGCTCTGTGACTCACACCGGCCTACAAACCCATCCTGTTGCTTCACAACAGCTGCTGTTGCCTGGCAACGTGGAACTTTGTGTAAAACGAACATTCCACACTGTGCTCCTGTCAGAAGAGGAGAACGGCCTCCTGTTTGTCATTCCTGCAGTCTAACGAGCCCTGATTGGCCATTCCTATAGCATGACTCAGAGCCAGATGAATGGTTTCCACAGCATCTTTGGAATGATTGTTAATCATCATTTATTAGTCACTAGAATCTCAAAGGCTGCACTAAGAGCTGTTTATGTTTTTGAAAGCAGAAAAGGGAGTTTTCCTTTTGGTAATAGGAAAAAGACTGTGAGGGAAGCCGAGCTTTTCACCTGCAGTTACCCACCAAATACAGGGCCCAAGCTCCAAGGGGAATAACAAAAGGTATAGAAGGAGTGATGTAAAGGGGGAGGACGAAAAAAGAGGTGCCAGAGTTCAGCTCTAAACAGTCTGCCAGCTCCCGAGAATGTGTGAAGGAAGGGGGAGAAAGGGGCAAGAAAAGCACCACAAAAAGCTCTTTGAGCATGGCTCTCACTTTCTGAGCGCTTAGCAAACATGCACATTTATCCTGAAGTTCCGTTCCAGAGCTTCCCTGATGCTTTTGTTCCTCAGTGCCAGTGAAGGCTAAACGTATGGAGCTTACGTGAAGGGCAAGTAGAGTGCGTTTCCTTGACAGCCGTTGCAACGCGCAATGCTTATTCTAGTGCTAGTATTATGTAGGAGCTTAAGGAAATCTGATGCAGGCAGTTTTCTAGGCATCTCAGCTCTGATTGGACTAAAATGGAAATAAATGTCAAATACTGTTTTTGGATTGTGAAGACAGGACTCCTTCATTGTGTTTCTCAATTTTAATGTGTCAATTTCCTGTAGGCTAAGCTAATTGCTGAATGGAATTAATGCAAAGGCACTTGGGGAAAAAAACTTGGTAATTTCATAATATCCAGTTGGAAATTACAGAGTTGCTTTTCAATTCACATGCCTAATATGTCATCAGTCTGTACAGTCGTCACTGTTAATTTCCAGCACTTTTGACCCTAGTGCAGGTTTTTCTTCTTTAGAGTTTCCTACAGCAATCTCCATTGGAAAACACTGCTGGCAAAAGTACGTTTTTGTCCTTTGACCACTACAAGCATTAAATTCTTTGTTTGAGAAGCACAAGGTTTAAGGGCCATTCACGCAGAGTGCATTTTTGAGTTGAAATGCAGGGCAGTGAAATAAAGAAAAACTCAAAAGTGGAAAATCTTCTTTTAACTTGGATGCCATGTTTTTAGAGTGTCGTGTCACACACAAGATGCTGCGAAAGACACAAGCTCAATGTTCAAAAATTTCTAACAAATCTAGCATATTTTTATATAGAAAAACAATAAACAATTTGTGCAGTTCTGTGTTGACCCCTTATTTGAGTTTTCTGGGTTCCGACTGTTGTTTTTTGTACAAGGGGATAGTTCACCCAAAAATGAAAATTCCTCCAAACCCTTAAGACCTTTGTTCAAAACACAGTGGAGGGACGGGAATCTCTCAGGTTTCATTAAAAATATCTTTATTAGTGTTTTGAAGATGAAGTCTCATGGGTTTGGAAGAATTTTCATTTTTGGGTGAGCTATACCTTTAAAATGAAATTGTATGAAAACATGAGGGTGAGTGAATGATGACAGAATTATCATTCCCTTTCTATACAAGTGGGACATCGGTCATGTAGAAAATATGTTTGTTATTTGAAGACTCATTTGTGAGATATGTAAGAGACAGCAAAAAAAAAAAAAAAAAAGTGTCATAAAGGTGAAAGTCCAGCCTAGCTCGGTGCACAGTGCTGTCGAATATTTCCATGCCTGGATCCAACAGCTGTGCCAAGAAAAGCTCTTCTGAATGAATAAACAGGGGAACTGACCAACAGGTGTTGCAGGAAAACAGATAAAAGAAAGAAAAATACTTCCCTGGGGCAGAAGTATTTCTTATGTATGGATTATTTCAACACAGGCTAATTTTCTCTTCCAAATCCCTTTTTAAAAGATTAGAGATGTACATGTCTCATTTGTAATGGAGCGTTTTCAATTTGTGAGGGTAAATTGGTCTGGGAACATTTTGTTAGTAAATGTCAGCAGTTGTATTGTGAGACGAAAGGAGGAGGAATTTATTGTAATGACATTTCAGTTCTGTTTTCTGAGGAAATTACAGTGAATAAGTGAAGGTAATTTTGTGTTAGTCATAATGTGAATGTATGATGTGCTTTTACAGGTTTGTCTGGCTATCGCTCATTACTCCCACCCTGCTGACCCACAGCTACTCTTTGGCTTTGAATACGTCGGAAAGCGATATCATGGATCAACAGGTAGGAAAACACTCATGAGGCCGTGACAGCAAATATTTGCACTGTTTCCACAAGAGCTGCCAAATTGAGTTGAGCTATCCATACATTCAGTTTCCCTGCAAGTCAAGACATGAGAAGACTTTCCAGGGAATGCAAAGTTCTCATGTTATGAATAGCATGGCCTATAATAAGATTTATTGGGCTGCATTGTAACATGTAGTTTTAAGACATGACAGAATGTAACCTGATCCTGATCAGAGGAGCATGTGACGCCACCACTAATGCAAACCTAATGCATTCTGCCTTTCGATGTAAAATATGTCACTTAACTAGATCTGAAGAGGGCTGTTTTACTACCATTCAAAGGTTTGGGATCTGTACATTTTTAAAATGTTTCATTTCATTTCAAGTCTCATTCTCACCAGGGCTACATTTATTTGATCAAAAATAAAATAAAAACAGTAATATTGTGAAATATTATTACAATTTAAAATAACTGTTTTAATTAGGGATGCACTGAAATGAAAATTCTTGGCCGAAGCCAAAGCCGAGCAAAATGAAACACTGGGCTGAAGGCCGAATACCGAACACGTTTTTTTTCCCCATGTATTTTTTCACCATTGCATAAATTAAATAGCCAAAATGTGCTTTTTACTGTTTTGTCTTGCTTTTCAAAGAAACAATCAATTACAAAACAACAATTTAAAAATATTTACTTGACACTGAACATTTTGTAACATTATAGCAGACATTATACCAACAAAGCACAATTTAACTTAAAATTAATAAGTAACATGTTTGCTGCATTAGTGCGCGCCGCCTCTATTTGATCGCGTCACGTTATTGTTCAGTACAATGTATTCGGTCTTTCGCGTATTTTCGCTTAAGAGCTTTTTTTTTTTTGCTATTTTTGGCAAAATAATTTTGGTTGCCGAACATTCGGTGCATCCCTAGTTTTATTTTTATTTTTTTATGTAATCAATTCCTGTAATGGCAAAGCTGACTTTTCAGCAGCCTTTACAACTCATTCTAATATGCTTATTTGGTGCTTAAGAAACATTCTTTATTAACAAAACTGTAAACAGTGCTGCTTAATATTTTTGTGAAAACAGAGATATAATTTTTCAGGATTCCCTAATAAATAGATTCAATTCAAAAGAACAGCATTTATTTGAAATTTGTGTGAAATAGAAATCTTTTGTAACATTATAAATGTGTTTACTGTCTACTGTTAATGCATCCTTTCTGAATAAAAGTATTAATTTCTTTAGAAAAAAATCCTACTGAACCCAGACTTTAGGTAGTATGTGTTCATTGTCAAGTTTTTTTTGTAATTATATGTATTATTATAATCTAATAATTAAAAAATATATATATTATAAGTCATATTTTTATCCCTCATGAGTTGGCATCCCTACGCAACTGTTTGAGCATGTACACATGTGGTTTGTTCAGGTGAGCGGGTGAACGGTGTTGACCCTGGCGGGAGGCTGCAGACCCCCCTGTTCGACTGCTCCTCAGACTGGGACAGAGAGATCAAGCGTACTGGTGCCTCCGAATGGAGGGTGTGTACCATAAATCAAGGCTATTTCATCTCGCCCAGGTGAGTTTATATATGTGAGTTTACATGTAAATTGTGGTCTGTTTTGCAAACAGCTTGTATTATAAGCATCTTACACTGAAGATTATTGCTGCGTGACTCATAACATTCATGTAGCAAGTGAATGTGACAGAAACACAGGTATGAGTATGTGCAGTACAAACGGCTATTGTTAAACGGAACTTGAATTAGTCATCCTAATAAATCTCTGTGAAAATGAGGATAACTGATTAAATTATGAGCGGTTCACATAAATCTGCTCAGACAGACAGGAATGTTGTCCTTTCTGCAGTAATCCTCTGGAATGAAAACACTGATCTCACTGATCCACACACAGTTCAGTATCCGGTCATTGTGTTTATAATATTGACACAAACAAGCATCACGTATTTGATTATGCTTTACAGTGTCAGGAGACATTTGTGGGAAATTTAACTACTTTTTCTGTTGTTTGCAGTCTCCCAGAGTTCTTTGTGGTTCCGGTATCTCTAGCAGATCAAGATCTGAAGCAGTACGCCTGCTGCTTTTACTCCCAGCGCATCCCGGTGAGCGCCTTTTACCAGACTGGATTATTGGTTTTGGAGTGAGAGGAGAGGAGAGGAAATCTACAAATCACTTTTATTACCCCAGTCAGTTTTGCTCTTAGTCAGAGAGAATTAGTCAGTCATCAGTTAGTGTCTTGGTTAAAAACTTTGCAGAATGAGAAAGCATGTCTTATTTAAGCTCCTAATAGTCCTGGTAGATTGATTTGCACTTAATAGTTGTGAGTCAACCATGTGTGTCAACATATGTAGGCTAATATTAGACATTTGTAGTGTATTTTTATATATGTGACCACAAAACCAGTCATAAGGGTCAATTTTTCAAAATTGAGATTTATACATCATCTGAAATCTGAATAAATAAGCTTTCCATTGACATATGGTTTGTTAGGATAATATTTGGCCGAGATACAACTATTTGAAAATC